TGAGATGCAGGAGCTGATCCCTGCACCAGCTTCTGCAGGTGGGAGAAGGAAATGCAGCAGTATTTAATGGTTGGATCAGTAGTTTCTGAAAAGTACATATTCATGACCATGAGAGCAGGTGCTGACTGGAGGGGGACCTTCCCCCTGCTTCATAAACCAGATTAGCCATTTTGGGGTACTTCTGAATGTTTTAGGAGCATTTGCAGTATTCTCTCATTTATTAAGTGGTGTGAAGATGCATATGCATTCAGACCTCATTGACGCACACCGCTGGTAGTACATGGGAAAGGAAAACCTACCAAAGCCACACATGAGGTTATGTGCAGTGATTTTTGGTGGTTTGTCTGGGGGCATTTTTTCTCCTTTTTTAATTGTAGTCTTAAATTGCTCTCCTTTTTAGAATATTTTGGCCTTGCTTTCCATGCATGATGGCTGTGCAATGCATCCCAAGGGGACAGGAGGTGGAGGGGAGGATGCACCCCTCCTGGGGAGCTCACCCAGGGCACATAGGGCACTCCCCAGCTATTTATTGCTGGAGGTCTCTTTTCCTTTGAAGGAGTTTTTCCTCCCTGCTGGCTTCCCAAGAGGGGTGTGTAACCAGCCAACACCCAGCCTCTAGCTTGGAGAGCCCTGGCCGCTCCTTGGGGTTTGCAAGTGCTGGATTAATGTCTTATCAGTAGGTATTTGAGCTTAAAGGTACTTTATTCCCCCAGCTGCCTCTTGAGCTGTCTGCTGCCTGCAGTCAGGGTTTTAAATGTGTCGTCCACGTCTGTATCCTTTTCAATAAAATGTGTATTGCATATTAATTTGAAGAAAATAAATGCAACCCACTTACTTCTTTCTTCCATCCTTTTAAGAACCCTTGAGGAATTTCAACCCACCTGCAGCAAAGTCATTGAAAAGCTGTAAAGTTGGTTGGTTGGTTGGTTGATTTTCTCTGTAGCTTACCAAGTACAAAAATCAGTTTATGCAAGAAACAATGCTTGGCTTGTGAGCTGCTTCAGTCCTTGCACTGTGTCTTATATATGTAGCAATTTTATGTATGTATGATTGTGTATAAACATGTGCATTTATGTGACACATATATATGTATATGTATTTCATGTATGTACGTATGTGTGTACATATTATGTATGTATATGTTTATATATATATATGCTGTGTGTATATATGTGTGTTTATATGAATAACATATTTTATACCTGCACATATACTTTATATATATGGAGCAATTTGAGGTATTGTGTGGGTAATTGAAAGGCATTTTCCTACCTCAGCTCCCCAAGCGTGACTAGTTCAGAGCAGGAATAATCCTCATTAAAAGCACTCCTGGTGCACACTCACCCTTGGGAAGAGCCAGGACTGGGAGAGCTGTAGGGCTAATTCAGCCTCAATGGAAAAACAACCAGTGAGATGGATGGGCTTTGATTCTGCTGTGTTTTGTACTGGAGGAGGATGGTTCTTTCATATTGCTCCTATGGGAGGGTTGAAGACTTGAACCCATTCCTCTAAAAGCCATCACTTATAATTAAGAAATGAACTGAAAGCTTTGCTTTGGATGTATCTGCTGACCCTCCTAAGGTGAACAGTGTTCCAGGGAAAACAGCTTCAGCTGCCAGCCTTTGTTTCCAAAACTCAAACAAAAAACCATGATGCAAACTCGACAGACTTGCAGAAGTTCCCTACATACCTACTCTGGTTGATGTTGGAGCTTTTTAGTAATCTGCCTCCAATGTTAAGGTGATGGAGGCATTGCTAGGCTCTTTGCTGTTCTATGAATTTAATCAGGGATGTGTGTGTGAAAGGGGATCTGGTGCTACCCCACAGGTGATACCTAAAGAGGTTAGAGACCACCACTGCTGAACTTTCCTGGTCTCCAGGTATCAGTCTAGTGAGGTTTAACCATATGCTAGGGAGGGGTGGAATAAAAAGATGTTTATTTAGTTGTATCAGGGCTCTATTGTCCTGAGCGGTGCATGGAAGGAGAGCCCATCTGCAATAAGGGATATCTCGAAATAACAAGTCAAATACAGTGTTTATGTAACACTGGAGACTTGTATACTATTGCTAGTAAGCCGTAAGCTTAAACAGAGAGCCTGCCAAGTGACAGTAATGCTTCTGAAGAGAGGAGGTTCAGTAGCTGCTGCAGAAGTGGAGCAGAAAAGGGACTTTTAAAATCCATGGATGGGCAGAGGGAAAGTGTTAGAAGCAGCCAGCTCCTGGGATAAATGGGCCATCAGGCAGAGCGGATGGGGCTTCTTTGCACTTTGCCAAAATTTGTCTTTGTTGCTTAAATGGTAGTTGTGTATGTGTGTATCAGTGCCATGGCAAGCCCAGAATTAAAATACACTGTGTACATCTCAATTAAGGCTTTATTTTCTGCTACATGAGTTCTGGATGTGAATTTAGTGGTAGCTGTAGGAATAAAAATCTGCAGTTGTAATTATGCAGGACAAGCTGGTGTGATGTGACTGCAGCGAGGCACTGGCATGGATTGAAAGCTAAGGATGTTTAAGGTTTAAAACACTTTATGAGCAGCCTTTCACCTCTTCTCATAATGTTTTGTCCTTGCAGAGATCTCTGCAGCTGTCTGGGTGGGTGATTTAAGATGCCTCTTGCATTTGCAGGACTGTCTGAACAGTTTTTCAAGGGGAACATCAAGCTCGCTCAGTGGGTTTTGCTGTAAAACATTTCCTCAGCATCACCAGTGCCACGTATCTGGCTCTTGACACAGTTCTGGGGGGCAAATGCAAAACTAGGTTCTTCCTCCAAAAACACAATCACAGCCAGATCCCCCAGCTCTCCCAGGCTCCAGCAGCTGAGGTTTCAGTTCAGGCTGCCCTGGGAGGTGGAGGAAGCTGGGAGCACTGATTATTTTTGATGCTGGGAAGGAAGCGCTTTGCTTCCCTTTCCTGTGGGTGCTGCTGCTGGGGTTGGGCTCCTGGAACTCCCAGTCCCTCACCGTGCTCCAGCTGATGCTGATGGCTCTAGCCTCCAGATCTCCGCAGCCTTCACCTGGAAGGTTTCTTGCCTGGAAGGGCAGCATCAGTAGAAATGATTTGCTGTGATCATAGCAAATGTATGCAGCTCATGTTCAGGATCCCTCTGTGCTCTCCTTTGCCCAAGATGACCAAAGGTTAATCTGCAGCGTGCACTCAAACCCCCTTCCGTTAGGCACAAATGTTAGTGATTCAAAATGCCTTTATTTGTGCCAGTTTGTACATTTCAGTGCCAATTCGTTCAGCTGTTAGTAGGGCATAAGTTGGACTTCATTACAGAGTCCACTGTAATGATTTCTCAGATTTTTTTAAGCATAGCCAAGGCTTGTGAAAGTTTGCATGCTTTTCTATATTTGGTTTTGTTTAATTTGATAGCACAAAGCTGTTGAAAAGTCTAGCTGAACATTTCTGCTTTCTGGCTGCATGATTCTGCTATTAGACCAGCTTCTGCTGGGTTTTCTCAGTAACACTGAGCTCCAGATCCTGTTTCCAGATGGGGACAGAAAAAAGTTTGTCACACTGTTCATATCTCAATTTTAATTTCAGATGTGGCTTATGGGGAATAGTCTTGACGATGTTGGTCCTGGAGTGTGTTCCTCAGTACCTTCAGCCTGTCGGGTGGTGTTTCTGCTGGGGCTTTGTCCCTGGACTCTGCTGGCTTTGCCCCTTGCTTTTGGGCCAGTGCCCTGACGTGCATGAACATCACTGCCAGAGGATGGAGAAAGGAGCAGTTGCAATGAATGTTATCTGGCAGTTTTAACTTGGGGAAAAGTGATGTTTCATATTGGGAATCCAGGATCACAGGAGAATCTGGAGCTAAAAACTGAATTACTATATAACCAGTGCTTTAACCTGGGAACTGTTTTGCATTCAAGCTTCTATTTTATTATGAAAATTAAAATAATCCTCATACAAAGTCCATAAGCTCAAAACTTACTGATAATTCTGTCATTCGTGGTATCATAGAATCATAGAATGGTTTGGGTTGGAAGGGACCTTCAGGATCATCTAGATCCAACCCCACTGCCATGGGCAGGGACAGCTTCCACTGCCCATGTAACTTGTCCTGCAACCTCTTGAGGTTCTCGTGTGCTTGCCCAGATGACATCCCTTGAAAACATTTGGTTTGTCCTTTGAAACTGCCCCTTGTCAATATCTTTGGAGATGGAGGGTAAAGCAGAGCTTTGCAAAATGCAGCTGCAGCATCTGGATCATTCCCCTACCTCTCCTTCCCTTTCCTCTGTGTGGTGGGGGACATTGTTCCATCATGGTTAGTGGTGGTCGGACTGGGAAATGCTCTGCAGGAGTGGCAGGGGCTTTGGTGAGAACAGGGCGGGTGTTAAATACTCCAGATGTTAGGGAAAATAGTACACTGTTGCTGTTTCTTGGAGTTATCACCGTGCTTTGGTTCCCCAAATGCATCCCAACTTGGACTTGATCTTCAAAGACCCCATGGTTATGTCCCTGCTGGAAGGAGACATGGCTGTTGGATTTTGCACTCTTGTTCCTTTGAGAAGTAAATTTTAGTTTCATCTGTGAATTTTCCAGTTCTGTTTGTAGAAACTGAAAGACCTGGAGACGACACAGTGTTTCGGTTTAATTCTTCTTGCAAGCCTCCTTCTAGTTCTGCTTTTCATGTGTGCCGAGGGGGCTGAACTCATGTTTGGGTAGCGCATGTGTTCTACGTGATGGGGATGAGGAAGGTGTCAGGTCGTTCATGGCCCCCCAGATTCATGCTCCAGCCTCACTGATGTTGGGCTGAGTGATCTGTGGACACATTGTGTCGCATCCTTATTCTTCTTGAGCTCTTTCTTACTTTTATCTCTGAGCTGGCTTTTAGATGCTATTGAGTAGAAGCAATTATTTGTATCTGAAGAGGGTTGTCAGCACTTTTGGATCAATAGTCACTTCACAGTTAAATGCATTTAAACTTTTGCTTTTGTCTTTTGAAGGCTAATTCTGGTCCCGTTTTTAACTGGTGAAATGGCTTCTTTGTTCTAGATGTCAAGAAAGACTGGTCAGATCATGCACTGTGGTGGGAAAAGAAGAAAACTTGGCTCCTTAAAACGCACTGGACGTTGGACAAATATGGGATACAGGCTGATGCCAAGCTCCAGTTCACACCTCAGCACAAGCTGCTTCGCCTGCAGCTGCCCAACATGAAGTATGTCAAGGTGAAAGTCAACTTCTCGGATAGGGTCTTCAAGGCGGTTTCTGACATCTGCAAAACGTTCAGTAAGTAGCAAATGCCGAGAACCACTGGTGGGGAGGTTGTCATTTGGTTTGGCTCCTGCCTGTCCTTTGGTGCATGTGCTCATAAATTTATTAATTCAGTGGTAATTCATTGCTTTAAACAGCCAACAATCACTTGGGCATCAAGCAGCTCCAATATCCACTCTTTTCCCCTTGCAGATCTAACTTTTCAAGTGGAAATACTTAACGAGACCAATTGTACTGGAAACATAAGAAGAAATAGTTCTTCTGTGCTGATTTCTGTTTTGTAGTGAGGCTGTTCTTGGTTTTCTCTTATGTGAGGTGGTAGCAGCCCTGCTTTCTGTAAAGCTGCTGGTGTTGGGTCATAATTTTTTTTCCTGCAAATTTATGTGCTAGATGAAACGCAAACCCTGAAATAAGAATCCTGCCAGCTCTGTGGGTTCTCTTCCAGTGGAAAATCGTATTAGATTAAGTGATGATGCTTCACTGTAAAACTGTCTGGTGGAAGGAAGGCACCGAGTCTCCCTTGCTCCTCCCTAACTCTTCTTCACACTTCTTTCCCTTGTTGAGAAGCTGCAGAAGAAAGGGTGGGTTATTTCCTACCAGGCACACAAGGCTTGTCCTCAGCTGCAGCTCTTGCACATCACTTTGTACCCACCTTCTCATCCCAGAATTTGTCATGCCAAAAGATGGTGTTTCTTTCTCTCCCCCCAGAAACCCAGGAGATAGCAACTGCACTCCAAGGAACTGAAATAAGCGCTCAGTGTAGGCTCTGTACCAGTGTCCTTCCTGCTTGCTCCCCTCCGCAAGGAGCCTGCAACCTGACCTCGGCTGTAGTAAATCTATTTCTGCTCTCAAAAAGCAGCTAGGGTTACTCTTGGCTGACCCAGTTGTTTTGTGTGGCGGGAAGAGCTCAGCTGTATGTGCGGTGTTACGGCGTGTCCTCGGGCACGTATGTGGTTAGGTTGGTATATATAGCCGATTACAAATCTTTGCTATTTCTTTCCTGGTTTGTTCTGCTAAGGGAGGAGGTAATATAAATATTGGGCAATTTCTCCTTAAAATAGAAAAGGCTTAGCCAGCATTATTTCCCAGTAGATTTTGCTTCCCCTATGTCTCCCATTGCCATTTTTAATGTCATGCCAGACAGAGAAGTCACAGGCGTCTGCCTGGTGCTGATGCGTCTTCCTAGCAGTGACTCATGTCAGGAAGTTCTGATACAGTTAATCACATAACAAGATCTTTCACTGATGCTGCCAAGCAGTCAGAACCTTACATGGGCCTGAAGCAGCTATTTATTCAACGCCTGGATTCTCAGTTTCTTTATGAACAAACAGCAGAATAATGCTAATATTTAAAGATGTGGAAGGGGAAAAAGCCACTGAGCCCTGCTGTGGTAGGAGCTTTCTACAGCAGACTGGGGATGACATCTGCTGAGGGTGATTCTGACTTTCCTTCCATGGCTTCTGACGTACTGAAGAAAATGTTCCCCATTTTGGGAAAGAGGGATTTTTCCTGCAAACTTCACTCTTTTAGCGACTTTTGCCAGCCTGAGCAGTTTGAGGACAGACAGAGGACAGGCCAAATACAGCGATTAAATCTTGTTTAGCCTTAGTCTTTGTTTTTACTGGGAGCCAGGTGTTCAGTAGAGCTGTGGGGAAGGTGGCTTAAAGGCCAAAGGGAAGAGGGGATTGGGATGCAGGGAGTCAGCAGTGCTGGAATTGGAGAGGCTAGAATACTCTTCCCTGCACCTCAGAGGTATTTGGACACTTATGTAACATACAGGTGTCCTATATCATTATATAGGTGTCCAAATACCACTATTTATATAGAATATCTAATCTATTTTAACATATATATTTAATATATAATATACAGGTGTATATTGTATTTAATATATATAAGTAGGTGTCCAAATGCCTTTGTTGTCCAGGGAAGAGCTTCACAGTGGGAAGACATACAAGGCATATACCAGGTTTGGTGTTTGACCCAAAGAGTTTTGGTTCATATATACACATATGTATATGGTCTTGGATCACATATATGCACATATACCTATGTGTTTATTTGATCCAGGATCTCCTTGGGGCAAACACTGAACTGCTCCATGCAAATCCCAGTCATGTAGTGCCTGTCTTTTCTTCCTCTGTGTGTGACCTTAGCCCTGTACTGTGGGTCAGACACGTCCTCAAGCACGGGGTCCTGGAGCTGAGCACTGACAACAGAGGTGAGGCTAATCTCAGCCAGGAGGTCACGCGCTTGCCAGGCAAGAGGGGCTGCTGCTTTCTACCATGCAGAATCATCCCAGGGTTGTCAGGCTGAATTTGCACAGGGCATTTCATTCCTGGAAGGTGTTCGGGATATCTGCCTGCACCATGGTGCCCGCTGCAGCTTGACAAGAATTAGAGCGGCTGTAGGGTGGTGGACTCATCCCAGCCTGGGGAGCTCATGTTTTCCTTTTTCTCAACACAGCCCTCTCTTGGGGTCATGCAGTCTGTGCTGTAACACTTTCCCAACCCATTTCCCTCTTTTTTTCTCCCCAGGTTAGTGTTTATTCTGTGCCATTTTTCTCCATTATCTTTTCTTGCCCTCCACAGTGTCTCTGCACAGGATGACTGCAGAGAGCACTCATACTCTGTACTGTGTAGGTACTCATGCTAAGAGGAAAAGTAGAAGGGGAAAGAAGTAGGCCTTGCTCTAACAGCATAGCTCTTGTCTCTGCAAATCCATTGATGTCTAAATTTAGGGGCCAGTGTGGCCTGGACCAATGTCCAGCTGACAAACTGCTTGTGAGTTGCTTATATTTTGGCTATAATTGTTTGCTGTCTGTGCCCTCCAAGCATTTAATTACACACTTCAGTAATTTTAGCATATGGCATGATTAATGAGTAATTTAAGTAATTCCTCATGTTGCCAGCACTCTAGCTGGTTGCATTTGTAAAATCCTCTATACACAAGCAGGAGTGTAGTTGGGTGAATTATTTAGGGTCGTGCCTTTCCTTATGTTCCTTTTAAACTGTACCTAGAGCTGGCAGCTCTGCAGTGTGTGGTTGCCTTTTAAAGCAGAGGCTCTGTTCCTGTGCGGACTGAAGTTACTGCAAAGGGCAGTTCTCGCTGCTGCCTGGGCTGCAGCTCCTGGGGGCCAGCCCGGAGGTGGTGTGGGAAGATGCTGGTGCCACACGCACATCCCTCGCTTTCCTGGAGGTCGTGCGAAGCCGGAAGAAAACACAATCTCATTCCCAGTCGCTGGATTGCAGCCCCTCAATTCCCACAGCAACCGGCTGGGAGGGTTAATGGCACGGATTGACTCCGCTTGTGGTAGGAGAGGGCAGGAGAAGAGCAGGGCAGTGGATGGGATGGGCAGCCCTCACCCGAAGGGTGGCCTGGAAGCCTGCCCAGGAGCAGCTGCTGGCAGGCGGCTCCAGCCTGAAGGGCCAGCTTTGATCTGCAATTAAAGACCAGAGAAAGAGAAAGTAAAACTTCGTTTTCTCTTTTTTTTCCTGAAGCAGCGTGGATTTGTGCTGCCTGCCTGTCTGGCAGCAGGGCACGGAGGTTGGCATGGGGGCTGCCTGTGGGGTCCTGCATGCCCCCTTCCTCTTAGTGGACAGCCTATCAAATACGTAAGTTCCATTTCATTGGTGTGGGTAGGAATATCCTCACTGGAAAGCAGCATTTGGGAAGACTCCATTGCAGACTCCTGCTAACCCATCTTCCTACTTAACAATGAACAGAAGAATCCTCTTTGCTTCCACAATGGCTTCATTTGAGTCCATGACAGTGGACGCCTTGCATCTGCTTATGCCCTTAAGCTGCTTCCTGACAGCATCCCCGTTTCTCCTGCTGCTGCCTGTATTTTTTTCCATGTGTGCTGGGAGCAGTGAGGGACTCCAGGCAGGATCTGCTGCTTCTGTGTGGGCATGTGGGAGAGGAAAAGCAAACAGCAAGATGCAAGTGTGAAGGTTTTTTCCCATGCCTTGGCGTTTCCTGCCCCAGTGATGTTGCTTCTCATGGGGAAACGGCGTATGTTGCAGAGCCGCAGGGCAAGGGGAGATGCTGTGATAGCGTGAAAGCTTGCATCCTTCTCCTCCTCTTCTGGCTGTGAAGATTTCAGACCTGTGCTGCCCTCCAGCCTGAGCAGAGGAGCAGGGATCATTCCAGTTGATGCTGGTTGGAGCTGGGAGCACCAGGAGGAGGATGTGGTGCCAGAGCTGGGAGGAGGCAGCTCTGGGAGGAAGTGCTCCAGAATTCATGACTACTCCCTCCCTTACCCACCCTGGGGCTGTGCAAGTTGGAGAAATTCCCTTCAGGTCATTTTGGTTTTTTCCGCCGAGGCCATCACACCCAGCTCCTGCCTCATAATCCTCACAGCCTCCTGTGAGTTAATACCTGATTTGGAAAATAAAGTCTGGAGAGCCTCATGTGCTGAGCAGCAGAAGTTTGCATGCCCGCATCCCATCTCACTCCAGTCCCCAGCTCCCTGGGGGCAAGGGACATTGAGAAATTGGGACCATTTTTGCATAGGGTAAGGGTGGTCCCATCCCAGAGAGCTTGTGGGGCTGGGGGATGAGGGATGGGATGTGGAGAGTCCCACTGGGGCAGTGGGCTACTTCCCCTCACCTTTTCTGCCCCAGAATAATGCAGTGCCCAGGACTGCATGACTGATGGGAAGGCAAAAGCCAACCTTCCTTGCTTAACCCTCCAGCCACTGGATGCAACCTGAGACGAGGTGACAGAGGTGGCATTTGAGAGGGCATGATGCAAGCCCAGCCCAAGCAAGACGACACCGTCCAGCAGTCTGGATGCTGTGTATGACCCTACCTTTTTTTTTCTTTATGAACCGTCTCCACTCCAGTACAGAACGTCCTCTGACTTCTGAAGTATTTGTAGTATTTCCACGCCCTCAGTTGCCAAAAAAACTTCTATTAAAAGCCACTCTTTTTTTTTTTTTTTTCCCAAAGCTGGAACACTTTGGTAGTCTGAGGTGCTCAGAGTTCCCAGGGCTTTGCCCATGCCCATTAGCACATGGAGCCACAGCCCAGGCACGGTTCCTTTCTGGGAGTCTGGACCATTGTGAACCTCTTCAGAACGTTTTGTCTTCCTTCACACCCTCACTGATAAATAAAGTAGCAGTTTCCCTAAAATAATAGAGCTGAGACAGAGTCCTGGTAGGCATATCTGAGCATCTGGGGCGGGGGTGGGGGGGTGGGGGGGGTGGAGGGGTGGGTGTATTTGTGGGGTGACAATAGCATCTCATGATACAGTCTCCGGATGCTCAGTAGCATCACAATGATGCTTGGAGATGACGTTTGCATCCTGGTGTGGAGACAGACCCAGTGAAAATCCAGGGAAGGGTTTGCTGTGTTTTGCTACCACGAGCAGAGAGGTTTGGCAGAAGTGCAGCTCTTTCTAAATATGTCTAGGGGATGGGTGTGGAAGGAAATCTTACCATTTAGAGTGTCGGCCAAATTGCAATGCACTCAGCTTTTTAAATTGCGAGGCCCAAGTGTACTGCTGCCAACGTCTTCATTTCACTGTTTTCCTCTTATTGCTTGCCTGTATTCAGCTGCAGTTGTTGTGTAGGATCCAGATGAACACCAGAAACTGGTGTAAGGGAAATAATGAGATTCCATTGCAAAGTGTCTAAAATGGAAGAAGATATTCCCATTTCTCCCCCCTCCCCAGGGCCGGTCTGTGTTCTGCCTGTTGAGTAGCATCAGGTTGTATGTCACTGCATGAGTCAGTGAATTTTTTCATCCTTACTGTACTGTTGACAGAGACCCTTTAAATAGCCTTTCATACTGAAGACATTAGGAGATGCTGCCAAATCCAGTGCCACCGCCTTCCTTAAGATTATTCTGATTGCTCTTTATGGTGTGATGCAGGGGTGTAAGTGCAGTTTTTCTCTTTGTTTTGTGGTGCTTAATTTAATTGACTTTAGCTGAAGTTCAGACACTTCAGGGGCAAGGCTGGAAGTGCTGTCTGTCCTCTGAGAGGCATCCAGATAACTGGAGTCTGGGGATCTCGTCCCTCTTGTGGAAAAAACCATCTAGACATTCAACATTTGTTGACTCTGTCTCTCCAGTGTCCTTTTTTATTAGCCTTGCAGTAGCGCTTGGCTCCATCACCACTGCCTGCCTCCTCTTCCTCCTCCTGCGTCCCTTCTGGCTGATGGGGCCTGATTGCGGCTCTGGGTACCACTCATGCAGATGGTGTTTACAAGCAGCAGTCCACCACTGCACACCCCCCGACCTTGTTTCTCAGGTGGTTTTGCGGATTGTTGCTCTGGTGGCAAGTCAACACGTCAACAGGCGCTTGGGTTTTTCCGCACTGAATTTGGGAAAGCCCCTCCCAGGTTCAGCCCCAGCTTGGTCTGCGGCCATGGCACTTGATGGGCATCTCGGGAGGCTTTGTGGGATGTCCTGACATAGCTGCATCGCCCCAGGCAGCAAGTGGAGAACTTGGCTTTTACCCAAGTAAGTGTTTAAGCACCTAGGCAGCTGAAGAGCCCGTAACAAAATGTTCTGAATGTAGGCAGGTGTACAAACCTAGTAACTGTGCTAAGGGGTGAGGACCTGCTCCACCATTAATCAGATACTGCCCAGTGTCCAGTACAACCATAATCTTCTCTCCAGGCACTTCAGAAGTTATATAAAGTCTTTTGCCTTTTTTTTTTTTTTTTTTTGCTTCTGGTCTGTTTTGCAGAACTTTATCTTGAGTGTATTTATGTTGAAGATAAGTCAGAAACTTTATTCCAAACAAAAATACCTCTTCTTTTTTTTTTTAAAGTCTGAAATGGGGTTTGAGGTCTCATTTTCTAAGAATTATCATGGTGATGTGCAAAGGCTGTAATTTGTACGAGTCATTGCTTTGAGACCATGGTGATCCAGTACAGAGATATCCCACTTCAAAACACATTTCTTGATGGAGGGTGGCTGGATCAACATTAAAGAGAGGATTTTCCCTAAATCCTGTCGATGCTACAAGTAAAATTATGGAGTTTGTATGATTCAAGAGCTAACGAGGCAAACCAGCCTTCTGGCCTTTTAAGGGAACCAGAAATCGTGGAAAAAACATAGAATCATAGAATAGTTGGGGTTGGAAAGGACCTTAAGATCATCAAGTTCCAACCCCCCTGCCATGGGCAGGGACACCTCACACTAAACCATGTCACCCAAGGCTCTGTCCAACCTGGCCTTGAACACTGCCAGGGATGGAGCATTCACAACCTCCCTGGGCAACCCATTCCAGTGCCTCACCACCCTAACAGGAAAGAACTTCCTCCTTATATCCAAACTTCCTCTGTTTAAGTTTTAACCCGTTACCCCTTGTCCTGTCACTACAGTCTCTAATGAAGAGTCCCTCCCCAGCATCCCTATAGGCCCCCTTCAGATACTGGAAGGCTGCTATGAGGTCTCCACGCAGCCTTCTCTTCTCCAGGCTGAACAGCCCCAACTTTCTCAGCCTGTCTTCATACTTCTGGGGGAGTCGACACATACTCGGACAGTCAGTGACACTGTGTTGTGTATGCAGGTGATGCAAGCAAACCACAAATCTGATTTCCTGTGGGAGAGCCCATCCCTCAGAGCACTGAAATCTCTGTGTGTCCACGGACCCCCTGGCATGTTGCTTGGCAGCATCTGGGGACCCCCCAGATGGATAGGGACAAAGCAGCAAAATCATCCCTTCTTCCATGCTGAGACATATGGATTTTAGTCCAGTCTCTGATCACAACTGCTTTCCCATGACAATACACCTTGATGGTTAAAGATGCAGCAGCTGCAAGATTAACTTGGTAGATTTAGTGCAGAAGAGCATAAATTGTGAATTTTACACCCTGTAAGGCAGATTGGGTTTTTCGAGCCGGTTTTCTGGGTGCAGGCAGTTTGATGTCCCGTGAAGAAGGTGGATTTCATCCCAGCCCTGCTGTTTGTCTCTGGGTGGGAGATAAATGGGCACAGCTGGTCTGGGTGAGCTGTGGTTACACAAGGAAAAAAAGCCAAGGATTTGCTTTCACTGGGAGGCAGCACAGGCGCAAGTAGGCTCCATGCTGGCAAATGGGACAGAAGATGCTGTCAGGGAGTAAAACGGCTTCATCCAACAGCTGAAAAATTTTCTTTTGGAGGTTGAAAGCTGCCTTGCCAGTCACATTTTTTAAATGCCTCCCATGAAATGCAGGTATGTGTGTTCCTCTCGCCAAAGGGCATTGCCCTCACTTGATAGAATCATAGTCACAGAACGGTTTGGGTTGGAAGGGATGTTTAAAGGTCACCTAGTCCAACCAGTGCTGCAGTGAGCAGGGACGTCTTTAACTAGATCAGGTTGCTCAAAGTCCTGTCCAACCTGGCGTTGAATATTTCCAGGGATGGGGCATGTACTACATCTCCAGGCAACAAATCCCCTAAATTTGACAAAACTCTTCTGCTATGACATGGACATGGAGCTGCAGCAGTTATGGCTCAGGCACAGCTGCAGCTGGTTCAGTATGGGCTGGAGATGTCAAAATACAAACAGTTCTTGCTTGAATACAGCTGAAAGATGGTTTGGGACCAGTTTTTGGTCAGTGCTCTCCTCTCCATACAGAGCACGCCACATATTGTTGCAGATGGTCTCTGCTAGTGGCTGCCACCAGCATCGCTGGGGATGCTTGGTAAGAGGCTGGGTAGATGGGTTTTCACACACACAAAAAATGGAAACGAAATGCTAAAAGGATCATTTGCTGTAAATTCTAGTAGATGTTGCCAGTGCCATCTGTCTCGTGTAGAGACAAGGAATCTGTTTTAAGCAAACACAGCCCCGACCAACGCATCAGTTGAAGAGTCAACACATTAGCATTGTTCAGAAGGTGACTTCTCCTGGTGCACTCACTTTTCACTGACCCTTTTTCCTTGTAAGTGACATTGTTGGGAGCAGCCTGGCTTCAGCTGAAAATGTGGATGAAACAATTAACAGAGGATTTCAAGTGGGGATTTGAGCTGAAGTCAAACCCTAGGGAGATATTTTACCCCTGGTGAACAGCTCCAGTTGGGCTCATCCAGGTGCCCTGGGACTTAGTGGAAAAAATGCAAACCTATATAAAGGACTTCATATTTTTTGTGTGTCACTTGGATACTCTGAGGATCTTACTCTTGCTCTTATGGTCAGGAAATGGGCTTGGGAGCAGTTCCTTGTCCCAGTTTCCAGTTAACTGGAGCCCTACCATCTGCAAGCCCTTCCACCCTGGGATAGGCTCTGCTTTAGCTACAGTAACTAAACACATTTGCCAAGCATGGCTCTATTCAAAACATGCTGTAAGACCCTTTGTACACTTATTAATCATGAGCAGCAGCAAACATGTTTTTCGCCAGGATTTTACTGAAAGATTGAAATGTGAAAAGATGCTTCTCACTTCTAATTCTGGGGTGGGAAATATAAACATTGCGCTCTTGCTGCTGTTCTGCTCGCTGCTTTTTAGCACAGCAGGCTTTGGTTTTAATTTCCCCTGCAACCCTCAGTTGGCTTCAGTGGGTTTGTAAAGTCTCAGAGATGATGGTACATCCAGCACACTGCTGCTTGGGAGAAATCTACAGCTTATCAAGGGGAAAGCGGGAGCAGGGATGCTCTGGCATCACAAGAATGCCTCTGCCTTTACTATACCCTATGGCCATGCGCTGTTTCAAAGCAGCTGCATAAAACTTGCCCATATCCTTTGTAATCCAACGATAGCGTCATGAACAACTGAGGGACTATAAAAAATCACTTTGATATCAGATGGTCAGGCTTTGGGCCGTCTCCAACAGATTGCTTTCAGGAGCCAGGCTTGGCCCAGAGCCCTTCTCTTGGCCTCTCTGAATGGTTTCAGCTGAGAAGCTGCCTCAGTTGCTAATGCACCATAAATAAACATCAGAGTTTAAACCTTGCTAGCAAAATACCAGGGGAACTCCTCATTTTAGGCTATGCTGCATGTTGTCCCTTGCGCATGACTCTGGTTGTCCCAGCAGATCTTTTCTCCATGAGGTAAGCTGGCTGGGATAAATGGGAATGCGAATAGCTGTCTGGATTCATACTCTAGGTATTTATTGCTAGAAATGGTAAAAAAATTGTGCCCTGAAACTAATGGTTGGTTAGTGGGTGCAGGGACAGAGTTCAACATGATAATATGTATGTAGTAATAATAAATCAGTGTTAAAGCTGAAATTAAATCTTACCTATAAAAATAAATATAAAAATATCTTATAAATAAATACAATTATGTAAATAAAGATAAAGCTTAAATTAAAGCTGTGCTAGATGATGGTTTGGGATGGGACACCCACCATATCAGAAGTGATTAAATCCAGAAGAAGTGCCCAACCTCTGGATTCAGAAATGCTGGGACTAGTGGGATCCATCCCTGGAGGTTACCTAAAATCAAATTCCCCAGATGTGACAGGCATGGCAGGGTTTGTAATGCCACACAAGCTGTTATTTAAAATAGGGTCGGGGTGGAGGGGAGGAGGAAATGGGAAAAGCAGACCTGAAATAACAGGTTGTTATTTCAGATAGCATCGCAGGGAGGCTGTTGTGGTGTTTGTTCTGGTTAATGGGCTCACAGTGTGTCCCTGGATGGGGTGAGGAGGGAGCAGAGCTTGTTTCCAGCCTGACGTTTCCACGCTTATTTGCAGTAAGGAAGATGCTGGTGCAGGCAAATGCATCTGCTGCGGCGATGTGTCCTGCTCAAGTCACGTGCTGGGGACAAATTCCAGTTTTAATTAGAACCCCGCGCCGGAGAGTGTGCAGCAAACTCCCACTGCTGCCAGTGCAGTGGTGAGATAGGAACCCTGTAACTTCTGCTCGTTAGTACAGTGACTTACTGTCTTGTTCAGCATTACTCTTGGTGGGAAAATAGAGCCTGGCTGCAGCGCAACCAGCTCCCTTTCTTCTGTCTCCTGGCCTCTCTTGCAGCTACAGCTTCAGGCTTTGATATACAGTGGGGATGGGACCAGGGGCTGCTTTCCTTAGGGCATCCCAAAGGCAAAGCTTTGCACATCTCTGTGCATTTTGGCATTTTCAGATGATACACGCAATAAACAAGAGCTAGAAACAGCGCGGGGGCTTGACCATGGACAGCCAGCTGCAGAGGAGAGCTCTGAAACTACTTTCCAGGCTCAAGCATAATGCATTATCTGCTTTTTTCCAAACCAACCCTAATTTCAGAGCTCTCCAACCTTTCTTCAGCCTTTCATCGTTGCAGCAGGATGGCTTCATGCCCAGGTGAATGCTTTTCCAGGTCAGTTGCCACATATCGACTGAGGACAGTTTAGAGTAAAATGGAGGAGAGTTTTTCTTCCCTCTGAGTCTTTGCAGTGCTGGTGAGGGGCTCCTGGCTCCCATCCAGTCCCTCGGTGCTTTCAGTGGTATCATGAACAGTGGGCTCTGCTTTTCCAGAAAACTCCTTCCTCTTTGGAAGTGACTGCAGCAGAAGCAAACGCAAAGCACTGCCACAGTGGGAAATGGCCCTAAAATCCTCACTTTCATTACCCTCCTGTAGTCCCATGGCTTAAAACACAAACACACTGTGACACTCCTCAATTACATGGTTTTAAAATTATTCAGGCTGGTTCTGGACAGGGAAATGGGAGAGATTTGCTGTGAAAAAGAAACACTTTGGCCAAGAGAAGAGATTCAGAGCAGCCCTGTGGAGAAGGACTTGGGGGTGTTGGTTGATGAGAAAATGAACATGAGCCAGCAGTGTGCGCTTGCAGCCCAGAAAGCCAACCGTATCCTGGGCTGCATCAAAAGCAGCAGGACCAGCAGGTCGAAGGAGGTGATCCTGCCCCTCTACTCTGCTCTTGTGAGAGCTCACCTGGAGTATTGTGTGCAGTTCTGGTGTCCTCAACATAAAAAGGACATGGAACTGTTGGAACAAGTCCAGAGGAGGGCCACGAGGATGATCGGGGACTGGAGCACCTCCTGTATGAAGACAGGCTGAGAAAGTTGGGGCTGTTCAGCCTGGAGAAGAGAAGGCTGCGTGGAGACCTCATAGCAGCCTTCCAGTATCTGAATGGGGGCCTATAGGGATGCTGGAGAGGTTCTCTTCATTAGAGACTGTAGTGATAGGACAAGGGGTAATGGGTTAAAACTTAAACGGGGGAAGTTTAGATTGGATATAAGGAAGAAATTCTTTCCTGTTAGGGTGGTGAGGCACTGGAATGGGTTGCCCAGGGAGGTTGGGCAGAGAGGAACTTGATGAAATTCAACAAGGGCAAGTCTTGCATCTGGGGAGGAACAAGCCCATGTACCAGTACAGGCTGGGGGCTTACCTGCTGGGCGGTAGTGAAGCGGAAAGGGACCTGGGGGTCCTGGTGGATAGGAGGATGACCATGAGCCAGCAATGTGCCCTTGTGGCCAAGAAGGCCAATGGCATCCTAGGGTGCATTAGAAAGGGTGTGGTTAGGAGGTCAAGAGAGGTTCTCCCCCCCCTCTACTCTGCCTTGGTGAGGCCTCATCTGGAATATTCTGTCCAGTTCTGGGCCCCACAGTTCAAGAAGGACAGGGACCTGCTGGAGAGAGTCCAGCGCAGAGCCACAAAGATGATTAAGGGAGTGGAACATTTCCCTTATGAGGAGAGGCTGAGGGAGCTGGGACTCTTTAGCTTGGAGGAGACTGAGGGGTGACCTCATCAATGTTTACAAATATGTAAAGGGAGAGTGTCAGGATGATGGAGCTAGGTTTTTTTCAGTGATGTCCAGTGACAGGACAAGGGGCAATGGGTGTAAACTGGAGCATAGGAGGTTCCATGTGAACATCAGGAAAAATTTTTTTACTGTGAGAGTGACAGAGCACTGGAACAGGTTGCCCAGGGGGGGTGTGGAGTCTCCTACGTTGGAGATATTCAAGGCCCGCTGGGACAAGTTCCTGTGTGATGTTCTCTAGCTTACCCTGCTCTTGCAGGAGGGTTGGACTAGATGATCTTTTGAGGTCCCTTCCAACCCTTAGGATTCTGTGATTCTGTTCTGAATGCTCCATCCCTGGCGGTGTTCAAGGCCAGGTTGGACAGGGCCTTAGGTGACATGGTCTAGTATGAGGTGTCCCTGCCCATGGCAGGGGGGTTGGAACTAGATGATCTTAAGGTCCTTTCCAACCCCAACTATTCTATGATTCTGTGATTCTGAGATCTCTTTACAAAGTGGGTGTCTTAATTGTAGGCTCTAAAATTTCCAGTCTTACAAGTAAATGAATGGTTTAATTCTTGTATTGCTCTTATGGAAGTGAGAGTACCTGGCCTGTTACCTAGGTGCTTAAATAGGGATATACATGGTGAATTATGTTTGTATTTATGGTTATGCTTATGATTGTGAATGCTGCTATGCTCTATCACTGGGTCTAGCAGTGCTTGTATTTCTGTTTGAGTGGCTGTGCCTGGGAGATTCTGCATTTTACTCAAATGCTGTGTTAACTTTCTACCCAAGGACAGTGCTTGTTTCCAACAGGCTTGTGGGAAAAATGTTCTCAACTTGATTTTTAGCCATTGCAAAGCAGGAAGATTGGCTGAGAGAGATACTGCATGTTACTGGATGTTGTTCCTAAAGGAAAGATCGCTCTTCTCCCCCCACACACTTTTTTTTCCCATCTTCCCTTTGTAAAAGTGGTCCATTTCATTCCCAGACATCAGGCATCCGGAAGAGCTCTCCCTTTTGAGGAAACCCAGAGATCCATCAAAGAAAAAAAAGAAGAAGCTGGATGATCAGTGTGAGGATGACGCCTTTGAGCTGGAGGGTCCGCTGATCACGCCGGGGTCTGGTGAGCTGGGGCTTGCTTTGTGAGGATGGGCTTGCAGGGAAGGGGTCTGCAAGACTCTAAAAGATGATAAAATGGGGGAGGGAGATGACGTAGCGGTATCAGTCTGGCCTAATTCCTTAAGGTCTGTGCAAGAAACAGACCCCAGATAAATTCCACAAGTGATCCAGGGCTGCAGCACTCGGTCACAGTCGCACAGATGCATGCCTAAAGCTGTCACGCATATAGGGGAGCAGAACAACGCCAGACTTTATAAAATAAAACAGAAACCAAGTGTGACCACTTTAGCACTCAGATTGTGTTACTGAAAGGTTTTCTTACCCTGTTAAGAAAGGAGTTAAATGGAAAATCGTTCCTAATGTCAAATTCCAGGTGTGTTTTAGGCAGTACCACTGTTCTACTCCTGATTTATAGCCCCGCAAACCTAGTATTTTATTAATTAGTGCTCCTCTGTGTTAGGGGTGCAGTTATAGATTGTAATGCTAAAAAAAAACCCACCCAACTTTTATTGCTAGAGGGGTATTTTGCCAGTCTGGCTTACAGAACCAGAGCAGCATTGGTAAGAGGATTGCTAACACAGGAGCCTTGCTGATTCAGTAACATTTCTTGTTGCATTCAGCAAACTGATGCAGGGAGGTTTGCAGCTAGAGGGTTTTTTCAGTTCTGCCCCGCAGCTGCTGGAGGTCTGGTGTCTGAAGGCAAATGGCAGGAGCGAAAACCATTAAGTTGGTCAAGTGGGGGCAGTTCAGCCCAAATGGACTTGCAGAGAAAGCCACAGTGATGCACAGTGCCAGGCGAGCAAGATGTGTCTGGATGCCAGAGATCTTGGTTTTAAATGCGGTGATGAGGGGGAAACAGGGCAGCAATAATTAAAAAAAGAAAATAGATACCTTGGAGTTCAGTAACCTTGTATTAATTTATCTTAAATTAACTGAAGTAAAAGTGTGGTCAGTGCCACTGGTGGCTCTAGGCTTGCAAGCAGAAAGGCACGAGTGAAGGTGATAGTGCCCTGGAGCTGCTGAGGCTCCAGAGCAAGCCATCATCACAGGTTTGTGGCGAGGGAAAAACAGTCCTTCTTTCGCTTTGGTCTTGTTCTTTCTTCTCTCAGATACTTAAAAATACTGCTGGGCTTGTTCTCTCCCACTGCTGGCTCAGGGAGTTTTCCCTGCATCAGGCAAGGCTCCAGCCAGTTTTCATTTGGCATTTGCATCTTAAAAGTCCATAATTAGTCATTCCAAAAGTCAATGTTGGCAGAGAGCATCTCCATTAGATTAATAGGAAATACTTGGCCTGCTTTGGGGGGAAATGCACATAAAAAATAGGGTTTTATTTTAATTCTTTATTGGTCTCTCAGCAAGTCACTTTGAACTGTCTTGATGCTTTCCTTCTGAATGAAATTATTTTTGCTGTAGGATTAATTACTGCAGCTACCTGCCATGTTGAGGTGCCATTAGTTAAAAGGCATGGTTTTAATCTGAATAAATTGTTTCTAGCATTGTTCCAACATTAATTTGAGTGCTGAATGCTTCTGTAAAACAAGTTTTATTTCAAGATCTGCTGTTTCAGTGCCTGTAGATGTAAACAGGCATGTTTTGTCACTGAGTACCTCCTATCTGGCAATGAAACCATGTAAAAAGCTGTCAATAAACCCACAGTAAATGCTGCCCAACACTTTCCATTAGAAGACCTGTATTCACTTGTTTACAAGTTAGCCAAACTTAGAGCTATTTCAGCTGGAACTTCCCATGACATTGTCTGCCTTGGGCACATTTTTTAAGAGAAGCTTATTTTGAGATATTTCAGATGTTTGGAGAAGGTGATGAGGAGAACATCTGAGGAGAAGTTTTGCTGCTCTGGAGCAGACACTTGATTGGAGGAATGTGGGAAGATGTCCATGGGCAAATCTGCCCAATTTGGGGCAAGAAGTGAGCTTTTCTTTTGTTGATCCAGTTTGTGCTCAGCCCTGTCTGCTTGAGCCACAGGAAGGTTGAGGCAGGCACACTGTGAGGCCAGATGGAGAGGAGGCAAGAGCATCTTTCAGGATGTAATTTACGGGTGGTGATGGTGGTTTGTTGCTGGTTCTTGTTGGACTGCTCTGCTCTGGTGTCCATGGGGAGAGCAAGTTTCTGCTGCTTTTATAATCTTAGAATCACAGAATATTTCAACTCGGAAGGGACCATAAGGATCACTGAGTCCAACTCCCAAAGTATAAGTATCTGGTATTAGTACCTGGCAAGTCACCTTGGCCTTCTCCTTACAAGTGTGAAACTTGAAGGTAGATACCTTCATCCCTTGACCACTGCTCCTGCTTTTTTGCTCATGTCTGGTTTGCTGGGTCTGTCTTGATGACAGGTACCCACAATGCTTACTGGTTCCCCACATCATTAATCCAGGCTGGGATGCCAGCAAAACTAGCAAGAGCATTAAAAGCTTCCTGGTGATTTTCTTTTTTGATCCAATGGATAGCTTTCACTTACATTTTCCATCCCGTCAGACAATTCAAAATCATGTTTCTATGTTAAGTTTCCTTTCAAAGATGTTGTCTGTTATTGGTATGATGCTGCTGATGTAACCTGTTCTTTTTGTTCCCTGTGATACCCATCACAAAAAGTCAGAGTTTGGAAAGGTTTTTCTATTGTTTTGGTCTTAGACTTTTCCAGATGTCTAGCTCAACTTCCTGTCATTCCTTGTGCACTTAGAAAGGAGGGATTGTTTGGAGTGAGGAGCTGGAGGATGGCCCAAGGTGGTGGTTCAGGGCAGCAGTAGGAGGTGGCACAGAAAACCTTGCTTGTGGCATCTCAACCATGCCACACACCAGCTTAAGCACCCTTAACAGTGCTTGTAGAGGCAGAATTTGGGTGCATTGAAATTGCACATCTAGGTAGGCTTCTGATTTAAAAAGGACGCACCTCTTTCCCAAAAATCCAGTTTATTATTGGTCCTTCTAGGTACTGAAGCTCAGATTTATGCCCAGCAAGCAAATGATGCTGAGCTCATTGCCCAGCGTACATATGCAGTGGAATTACTGACATTAGGATACGGTCATTGAACCTCCCTAATACTGAAAATTTGGGTCTTATATATTCTTAACATAAAAATCAGTGAGATGAATAGGGGCTGTTTAGCTCTCAGCTATTCTGGGGTATGAGATACCAAGCTGGTCCACTTTCTTCTCTTCAAGTGTGTAATTTTAAAAGGGGGGTATTTTATCTGCTTTGAGTCTGTACGAGCTGTAAAGCTTTAAAAGGCCAGGAGTAATGTGTGCTTCAGGATCAGTTTGGCACCAAATTGCACCACTTGCTCAGCATATTAATACCAAATTTGTTTGGCCATCTCAGCAAGCTTTTCCGTCCGTGAAATGCTGCGTTTCCATGCCCGGCTGTTTCTTGTATCAGGAGTAGAATAATGTGGAGTCACTTGGGTTGCTTTGCCTGCCGAGTCCACCGGTGCTGCTGCAGACACTCCATTTGGATGGTTAAACCTCACCTGTGCTTTCTGCCCTCTTCTGAAAATGGCTGTTTTCGCCTTCTGTCCTTCCCTACTCTCCCGGTGACTTTCTCTCGCCTTCTCACTTCCCTCCTTTCTTTCCCTCTCCATAGGCACTGATATTCTTTACATCGGCCCCGTCAAAGGTGAGCTCCACCTCAGTGGAGGACTTTTGCGCTCTGCCTCTGGTCTCTTTGGCTGCGCCCTTAGTTTATTTTCCTGCTCCTCTAAAACTTTTGACTTCCAAAATCTTTAAGCAACAGGTAATACCGGTAAGTTGGGGGCCCTTTGTGTCCCAGGTGCCATAGAATTGCAGGGGGCAGGAGTTCCTGGCGTGGGAAACCTGCGCCTTTTCCCATGGATTTGGGCTGGAATGAGTTTTCCATCAGTTTTTCTCTTGGAGAAGAGCTGAGAGAGAGGGACAGCTTTTCATGGGAAAACAAGCAGCACAGTGTTTTCCCATTGCGGAAAAAAAAAGGAAGAAAAATGATAAAAAAGGGAAGGTTTTTCATCCACTGGCTTCAGTTTTGTGTCTGAGTTGGATTGGTTGGGAGCAGGCAGGGCTTGGCCCTAAGCTAACTCCCAGCTTTTATTCCTCTTACTGGTAGGAAACATATATTCAAGCCCAGGACTGTATAGCAAAACGATGACGCCGACATACGACGCTCACGACGGCAGTCCCCTGTCACCCACTTCAGCCTGGTTTGGTGACAGTGCGTTGTCAGAGGGGAACCCGGGCATCCTGGCTGTGAGCCAGCCCGTCACCTCCCCAGAGTCCTTAGCAAAAATGTACAAGCCACAGGCGTTGCTAGATAAAGCCAAAACCAACCAAGGGTGAGTTAAGGATTTGGTTTTCTGCTCTTTTCTCTTTTTGGTTTTTTTCAAGATGCAGTTTTAAATTGTGTTCTTGAAAGCATCACTCTGACTTCACCAGAGCTCTTTGTGTGTGTGTTACTCCATATTGACAATTTACAGATGGCTGGATTCGTCCCGATCACTTATGGAGCAGGAGGTGAAAGAAAATGAGGCTTTGCTGCTCCGGTTCAAGTACTACAGCTTTTTTGACCTGAATCCAAAGGTACAGAGTTATTTATTTTACTCACATCTTACAGACAAAGGCTTTGAGCAAAGGGTGCCTGTATCTCCAGTGTGCTTTTGTTTTGGTAAATCCTCCACTACTTTGAAAATCAATTATGCAGGCAGCAAGACCAATTTGCATGCTCCCAAGTACCAGTTTGCTAATGCTTAGGTATTGCTAGAGATGCTTAAGGCCACTCTGCTTTGGTGGTAGAGGCTTTTCAGTCTTAGATTGAGGCACTGCATTGAAATGAAAGATGAAGTGGTTTGTCTTGAGCTAGGATAATGTGTTTTACAACCAGTCTGTGTTTTTGTGCTGTGCCATAGTACGACGCGATCAGGATCAACCAGCTGTACGAGCAGTCCAAATGGGCTATTCTGCTGGAGGAGATTGAGTGCACAGAGGAAGAAATGATGATGTTTGCGGCACTGCAGGTAGGAGACAGCCTGGGACGCTTACAGTTTTGGTTAAACTTGTTTTTGTAGCTTTGCAGATGTCTCTATTAATGAATATTGATTAACACAATAAGTGAAACCTCCTGTAACTGGTGCTCTAAGCCCCACCTTGTCTTTGATGGAGCCTGGCCTTCTCATGCTTGTAGAAGTCAGATCATTTCCTGTCTCCTGGTCCTCACTTGAGCTTATTAGGCAATTTAAATATTTGCTGCTGCTTACTTCTCATGAAAAGGAATTTGGCCTTCTTTTAACCAAACATGTTCCTGTCTATCTTAACTTTAAGGTCTGCCCTTCTTAAAAAAACCCAGTAAGTACTCTAGGTTACTGAACTGTGCATTCTGGCACGCTGCCCCCCCAGCAGCTGGTGATAATCTGTGGGTTTCCCAGAACTATTTATTTATCTGTTTTATAAAATACTCAGCATGATTTGGCATAAATAGTACACCTGCTATTGACTTCTGTAAGACGGATGGCAGGCCCTTTACTATGTGTGGTCTGGCACGCCTCATTGCTGTAGGATATAGAAATAGCTCCATCAAGAGCAGGGCTCTCTGCTCCTAGGGCCCCTCCAGGGAAAAAAAAAAGAGAGTGAAAACAAATACAAAGACTGAGATTACCTCCCTGAACAGTCCAGAGTGGGCTGGGCATGGACCTTCCTGTAAGATTTTGTGGATGTTTTGGTTTTCTGGGGAAAAAACAGGTGCAATGCATCTTCCCAAACTGGGTGGTGTGGCTGATAGGCCAGAGGGTCAGGCTGCTCGCCAGAGGGCCCTTGGCAGGCTGGAGAAACGGGCCAGTATGAACCTCATGAAGTTCAGCAAGGGGATGTGCAGAGTCCTGCCCCTGGGGGGAGCAACCCCAGGCACCAGTATGTTTTGGGGACTATCCAGCTGGGAAGCAGCTTGGCAGGAAAGGACCTGTGGGTGCTGATGGACACCAAGTTGAGTATCAGCCAGCAGCGTGCCCTTGGGGCAAAGATGGTGAATGGTATCCCAGACTGCGTTGGACAAACCATTGATGGCAGGTCAAGGGAGGTGATCCTTCCCCTCAGCGCTGGTGAAGCCAAACTTAGAGTTCTGGGTCCAGTTCTGGGCTCCTTAGTGCAAGAGAGATATGGACATACTGGAGAGAGTGCAGTGAAGGGCCACAAGGATTATAAAGATCCTGGAGCATTTCTCCGATGAGGAAAGATTGAGAGAGCTGAGACTGTCTCCATCCTTGGAGATAATCAGAAGCCAACTGGACATGGTGCTGGACAGTAGCTGTAGGTGGAGGTAGGACCAGATGACCTCCAGAGCCCCTTCCAACCTCAGCTAGTCTGTGATGCTGTGAAAAGAGTATCTCTGCTCTGCAGAGTCCAGAGCAGTCCTTCGGGGTTTATACCAACTCCTTGGACTGAAAACAGCCAAGCTGGTCATTCCTGACACAATTGCACTCAGTGTCAGCACTTGCTGGCCTCTATTTATGCAGAGGGTACAGCTCCATTTTTCCACTCTGATTCCCAAGCATGATGGCTGTGTTGTGATGAGCCCATAGCATCCAGCAGATCACAAGAGCATCCCAATGAAATGCTGTGTCTTGCCTTTCAGTATCACATCAATAAGCTGTCTATTATGTCCTCTGAAAACCACCTGAACAACAGTGACAAGGATGTGGATGAGGTGGATGCTGCCCTATTGGATCTGGAAATTACTTTGGAGGGTGGCAAAACGTCAACGATCCTGGTAAGGGTTGCAGGACCTGGTGGCAAATGGCTCGTGTGTCCTGTCACCTCACACAAGCAGGAAGACAATCATTCCAAGCTGGGAATTCTTCCAGGGATCCTTCCTTTTTTATTTTCTTCCTCTCCTTTTTTTTTTTGTACTTCTGCTCTTACAGCATGAGGAAGTTGCCCACAGCCCAGTGAAGCAACACAAAACATAGACCCCAATAATATTTTCCTTAATATATCCCAATAATATTTCCCTGTTAAGTATCCAGGGGTAGTTCTGGTAGGAGGAGACCCTGGGCAGTGTCCAACATGGGGCCAGAACCAAACTGGAGCTCTGCTCTAAGCCCAAGGCAGCGTAAAAACCTCTTTGATCACATGCATGTACTGAACCAAAGGCTTCATTTAAGCTGTAAAACTGCCTTCTATTTTTTGGGTGTTCACAGTTAATTTAGCAGGGAGAGCTCAGCCTGTCCTGTGTGCCCAGCTCTGCATTGCTGCAAAAGTCAAGTGCAGTATTGCTTTTTTTCCTGTTGGGACCATAAGACCAAATGGTGTTGGAGAAATCTTGGAGGAGCTGGGGTCTTACTGACACCCCCTTGCACTAAGTCACTTTCCTTAGTAAAATAATGGAAAACTGAATTAAAATTAATTTGGTTTCTGTTCTCACTTACTGACTTCCCAAAATACTGGATTCTTCACGCTGAGGTTTCTCTGCCACTGTTTCTAATTCGTGGCAAAGTTTTACAGCACCTAAAACAGCTGCTGTGATTTTCAGAAATAACTTACGCTTATGAAGCCCTATTTTTATGGGACTGGATTTGAGCCTGGAGTGGGCTATGACTATTTCAGAGGATTTCTCAGCTTTTTTTTCTGATACACTCTTTTGACACTGGTTTTCCACCTTTAAAAATGTAAAGCCCAAGAAGTAAACTGCAGAGAAAGGACTGAGTCCAGTCAGACTTGGCCCAGGACAGCTTTTCCAGGCATTTTGCGCATTTATGTCATTTCTGAGTTTCATTTTAAGTCCTTTCAAACCCTAAAATCCCTGAAATTTTCCAGTCTTACACTTCATATAATTTCTTTAAGTGCTCATGAAGGATCTTTTTGAAGTTAACATCCATACTTAGCCTGCTTTACTAGCACTAATAACAGCAGAGGTTTCCAATATTAAACAGTCGCCGCAGGGACAGCAGTGCTCCTTTGGTGCGACAGAAAGAATGCCAAGATTTTATCGCCAAGAGATCCTTTATAATTTCTTTGCAAAACCAGATTTGAAGCACAGTGCTTAGGAACAGTCCCTGCCAGAGAGGAGGGAAGATGACAATGATTCATCAAAACTCTCCATCCCTTTCCGTAGGGGTTGCTAGCAGTAGCCATTTCCAGATGCACTCGAGTAATTGAATACAGATAATGGGCAATTACTGGATTGTTTGTTTAGATTCTGCATTTTTTTCCCTGTGGTATCTATAAACAGCATTGCTCACTGCGGACGGAAAGTAAACTGGCTTGCTACTGGAAGCTGTTGGAACAGTCTTTGATTTCTCTGTCCTTCGAGAACCCTTTAGTTTGAGCTTGTGGGAATTGCAAGTGCCACCCTGTATATTTTTCTCCTGCATATAATCAATATTTAAATATAACATAAACATAACATAAATAACATTTAAATAACATATTTAAATATAAGTAACATCAATATTTAAAAAGCTGGGAGCAGAAAACCTTTCCAGACTGTCAGAAAACCCTTCCCTAGTCCTCCATGGACATGCAGAGCAGCATCTTTTCCTTTTGTTTGGAGCATAAGGAAATAACTAAGGGAAGAGAAAAACCCCTATGCGAACATGAGCTGGTGTGACCGCCAGTGACCTCGCGGGTGGGAATTGGCTCCAGCAGCAGCAGGAATTCCTCAAAGGAAAATAAAACCTTGTCCTCTGGTTTGCAGACAGCACTTCTGTGCCATGGATTTTTCTCTGCTTGCTTCTCCTGTGAAGTGGATGAGGCTTTCTCAGGAGCATTTTCATGACCCCTGAGCCCTGATGTTCAGTGAAGCTGCCCCTGGCTTCCTCCCCTGCGCAGCATCCCTTCTCTCACACACCCAGCACCCCGGCCCCACTCTGGCATGCGGGTGAATGGGGTAATCTTTTCTTTTCAGGGTGACATCACTTCCATCCCCGAGCTCGCCGACTACATTAAAGTCTTCAAGTAAGTGCTGATGGGAAGGGGTGCTTGTGAAACTGGTAATGCCTGTGAATAATTAATGGTCCTATCGCCTAAATCCTTTTTTAAATTTATGTCCTGGCCTTAAGATCTTGCTGCACACACTACGTTATTCTCCTGTGAAAAGCCACCAGGCAATTGCTGTGTAATAGCACAGCTCACTATCGGTGCTTTCTTACTGTCAAAACAGTTTACTTTATCCTGTAGCACAGTCACTATTACACACTATTGAAATACTTGATACTGAACTTGATCAGTTCTTAAATACAAAACAAAGAGTGTTTTCCCACTGTTGCCACCCCAGCAGGTACACATCCCTCCAGGAAAGTTTCCTGCATCCCGTAGCCAGGAGTGCGTGCTGGGATGTTTGTCACACACTTAATGCCCAGGGGATAATCAAGCCATCCTAAAATTAGAAGTGGAACATAGAAACCTTACTCCTCCTCCTGGTTTGGAAGAGGCTGGGTGAATTCTAAAGAGCTGAGATCCCAGTCACTCTGCCCTCTCCTTGCCAAGAGGAGCAGGTTAAGCTGACTCTGCTCTGCTCCTCCTCCAGCTCACTCAGGGTTTAGTTTGGGGTGGTTATATTTTGCTTTGACTCTGATGGTGGTACGTGAAAACCGGGAACGTCTGGACTTGGAGTAACATTTTGGCAGCCACGACCGTCTCTTGCAATTTATTGCCTGCTGCAGCAAGGATTCCAGTGAACATTCTGGAAACTGGAAATACGGATGAGATTCCACAGCATAGCTATAGGATATAGAAGAAAAGCTGTAGCCAGTAAAACAGTTCTGGAAGAAGCCTTTATTTTATTAATTGTTTGGTTCTGGAGCCAGAACTTGGCACTTCTGCTCTGAAAAGCTCTTTCTTCCTCTCTGAAGGTAAATTAATAAGGTCTCCATCAGGGCTTATGGACTGTCTCAACTGAGGCAAAGTTTCAGGGCTGCAGCCTGTGCCCTGCATCTGAGTGGCTTTCCCCCCACCTTGAACAAACAAACAATCCCCTTGCTATTTCCTTCAGTGTGCTTGTTCGCAATAAAATGAGGCACGACTTGGGGAGCTAATTGCAAATTGGAGTGCCAGTTGGTGGGACAGGAGATGAAGCAGCAAGAAGCTGTTGGCTCCTCACCTGATGCAAGCCCCAAGTGCTGGGTTGGGATTTGAGGCTGTCCTGCCATGGCAGGGAGGCACAGAATTGCCATGTGCTCCTAAAAATGTTGGCCAGGTGGTATTTTAGTGCCAGGAACCCAACATAAATGACATGACATTAGGAGATGGTCCAGCTTTGGACATGCTTCTTGTCACACTTCAGCTGAAGAGGGGCTGCAGCATACGTCCCTAGTATGCCTTACATAGAATTCCTACATGTATGTCCCTATAAATGCTTGGTGTTGCTGCAGTTTTGGGATGTTTCTTTCTCCCCTGCCACCCATGTTACTGCCTGTGCTAGCCAAAAGATGTATTAAAGCATCTTTAGCAAAGCATGAGAGCGAAGGATGGAAAAACCTGCACGTGTAGGATGGCTTGGCTCGAGGTTGGTGAATTCTGTAGTGGGAGGCAGCTTTCAAAAGAAACTGCAGTTGTAAAGTTTGTATAGGACAGGGCTATGTGTGCCAGGGCTTTAGGAGGAGGAAAACCAGCACAGACAGAAGGAGGCAGCAGATACTTCAAGTTCAGATGTCCATTAGTCGTGTGGGAGCAGCGAGGCTCATTCAGACACTGTGTTTCTCCCACACCATCCCAATTTCCTTCTGACTCACACACCCTGAGCAGCCTCCAGCATGGTTTTGCTTGGAAATGAAAATGCAGAGGTCCATCACAAGCTCTCAAGGACAAGCAGTTGGGGCCATCACACATGTGATTCTTACAGATGAGGGTTCAGCAGCTGTTTCTGGGATGGAGATGTGAGAAGTGCACTGCAGGGAGAGGCTGCGAACACAGCCTGTGAATAAGGTTTAGAAATTAACTGGGGTTAAGAAATTGAGAAACTTGCAGCTCTGGAAAGGTCCTGGGCTCATGGTGGGATGAGCAGGCTCAGGGTACCACCATGCCAGGTGGTCACTTTTGCTGCAGGCTTGCAGCCCCATCAGTTCTTATGCAGAGTCAAGCAAAATCCGTGTTTTCCATAGAAAAGAGCTGAACCTTTTCTGATGTAAAGTGGAGTATTTAAAAAGAAAACAACAAGTGTACTCATGCATATACTTGTATTCTCAGTACTGTCAGAGTGACAGATCTGTTAGAAGTACCGCTTCCTTTCAGAGCTTGAGCAAAGTGGTTCCAGTGTAATGTGGTGGGTGAAGAGGCATAATTCACAGCAGTTTGTAGACAGGTCTATTCTTGTAATACAGTTCTCCAGCTCCCCTGACCTTGCCCCAAATTAGTGGGACCTCCATGGGATCGAAGAATCCAAACTTGCAGTTACAGCTCAATTTCTTAACCCACCATTGTAGTGAAGGGATGATGAGTGGTGGCTGAGCTTACAGACAGGGACTGTCCCAGATTGCTGACACCAGATTTTCAAGGGTGAAATGAGTTTCCTGGTGCAGCAGCTTGGTTTAGGAGCTTAAACTGAATTTTATGTCCCTCAACTTGTCTGGCAGGCCCAAGAAGCTGACGTTGAAAGGCTACAAGCCATATTGGTGCACATTCAAAGATACCTCTATCTCCTGCTATAAAAGCAAAGAGGAATCCAATGGGACTCCTGCGCACCAGATGAACCTGAGAGGTAAGAGAAGTGTAAATGCTGTTGTATTTTATTGTACTAATCGGCTGGTCCTCTTGCATCTTCTTTTCACACTGGTTTATCTTCTTGGGATGCCATCCTAGGGTTGGGTAAATACATTTAAAGGAATGAGGGTGGCTGGGTTTGATAGAATGGCATATGTTTAGACTTCTAGAAAGTGAGTACATGGTACTTGTGACCCCAACCCACCAGCTCCCAAGGAGCATGGGGAGACAACTTGCTGTTCTCCTTTTTGTCATGGCTATCCAAAGGAATTGGACTAACTCCCAAGCAGAGAATAAGCCTGAGCTGGAGAGAACAGACCATTCTCTTCCTCTGCTGCCTTTTAACTTTTGGTTAAAAGGTGCTGGTTGGGACCAGCCTTGCTCTATCACTCCCTGTGAGCTTTGCACATGAGTTTTTAAATTCCTGCGGCTGTTGGCTTTTCTTATGTCAAGTGAAACATTCCTGCTCCAGCAGCCACCGAACTGCAGAGAGCTCATTTTGTTCCCTGTGGAGGCAGGACATGTGAAGCCAGGTGACCTCAGGCTGCAGATAGGGTGAAGCCTGGCCTGCAGGACCTTTTTGGGAGCTTTTGGCATATCTGCTGTGATGGCACTTCTAGATCTCGGAGGCAGAGTTGAAGCAGTGCCCGGGCTAACTTGGTTGGTTCAGTTCATCACCCCCCACTGTTTATGCAACCACTTGTAGTTTTCTACAGACACCAAAAGTGGGATGCTCACACCTCGCTAGTGACTATAGCAGCGATGTGCCCGTCTGAAATGATGTATAGGGGTTTGGGGGTGAGAGTCCCCACCCATCCTGCCACCTTATCCCACCGTTCCATAAAAATGCCAGCCATCGGGTCCATTCACAAGGCCAGGCAGGATCTACAAGGTGAATTCTGCAAGCATGCTTTAGCTTTGGCTCCCTTGCTTTTAGATCAGGTCTTGCTTTTTGCACCCTTTTTTCTTGTCACTTGGAAAAAGAGACATTGGACAAGTTTTTTTGTCCCTGCTATGTAGAGTGTTCATCCATCAGAGATGTGGTGCAAAACTTTTGCAGTGCTGAGATGTCATAGGAAACAGTGTTTATAGGAGAGCTTTGGTTTTCCTTTTCTTCCTTTGTGTTTAGGGTTTTTTTCCCCCTTTTTTTAAAGCATGGTTCTTGACACCCCTGTTAAACCCTGGCCTCATTGCAGGATGTGAAGTCACCCCTGATGTGAACATCTCTGGTCAGAAGTTTAACATCAAACTTCTGATTCCAGTGGCGGAGGGAATGAATGAAATCTGGCTTCGCTGCGATAATGTAAGTTTATCACTTGGACTGGCTGTCTCTTTGCCCTTTGCCTACCATCAGCTCATGTTCAGATGGGCCGTGTAGCTGGTGATGAAAAAAAAAGCAAATGCACTCACGTGTCTCAGCTCTGTGTTCAGTGTTGCACGTGGGCACACGCGTGAATTTGGAGTAGAAAATTAGCCCCTGCTGTTCCCTGGCTTTGTCCCATGGTTATAGTCTACACATTGGTTGGGTTTCTGCCTGTCTTCTGTGTGTGCTTCAGTCTCCTGGGCTGGAAGGGAAATAAAGGCTCCCTGGAGTTTAACTGGGGCTGGCAGATGGTACCCCCACCACTCTGATGGGCATGGGTCTCTGTTTCGGGGGGCAGGAGACGCAGTACGCCAGCTGGATGGCTGCCTGCCGCCTGGCCTCCAAGGGCAAGACGATGGCTGACAGCTCCTACGGCATGGAAGTGCAGAACATCCTCTCCTTCCTGAAAATGCAGCATTTGAACCCAGACCCGCAGCTGATCCCAGAACAAATCAACACCGACATCAATCCCGAGTGTCTGGTTTCTCCTCGCTACCTGAAGAAGTACAAGAACAAGCAGGTACGTGCTCACCCGCTCTGCCGGCACGGTGTTGGTGTGGACCGGGCTGACCGTGCACCCATTTCGGCGGTACCTGGTGTTTAACACTGTGTGTTTTGGATGTGTCACTTAATCGGATGCACGTGGTTACTAAAATGAAATGCCGACTGAAATGTGTGGTTTCGATCCAGCACCTGGGGATGACACCCATGACCTTAATTCTGCCATACATTATGTGATGCTGCATGTACACAGCTTTGGCAGCAGGGAACTGTTTAACACATTTAAAATTCATTTACATTTACTTTGAATACATTTTGGGAATGGTTTTTACCCCTGCTGCTACTGAGCAACAGTGCAGCAAAGCATGGGTCAGCTGCCCCATCTCTCCCCTCACAGATGTAGCAGCGGTGAGATGAAGTCAGTCCCGGTGCTGGGATTAAAACCCCTTCCCTTGCACAGAGTCCGTGCAGAAATCCTCAGGATCAGCAGAGTTGCAGTTGCTTGCAGTGCTTTATCCAGACTTGGCTGTAATGCGGTTTGCATATTTCTCTCTTCGCTTTTCCACTACTTCCAAATGCCAGTCCTTGAAACATTTGCTTCATTTTGAGTTGCTGTGACTTGTGCTTGAACTCCACGCTACATTTGGTCTATGCATGACAGGGCTGAACTGTTCTGCACTGGAAATAAATGCATAACTTTCTGAGAGACATTATATGTCAGAACAGCAGTAAAAATAATTAAGTCATTGCTCTGTGGGCCTTTCTGTGACTTAATCGTTCAGCTGTAGCTTCACAGCCTGTGTGCTTCAGGCTGGCTGTAGCTAGATACAATTTTCTCCAAACCCAGAAGGCTGCAAGTCAGAGAAGCAGGAAAAATGTAACTTTTTACTGGCAAAGCATGATGATTTCCTGGCAGTAGAGTTACATTTTATATAGCCCTTATTATTCTTCTGAATAAGCTTTTATATCCACTTGGATAGAGGAGAGGCTGCATAAATATACCATTTTAATGCATATAATGCCTTCTAGGCTTGAACTCAGTAAAATGGAGGCACCTGGAAAAATATTAGCTTGCAGAACTTGCTTACTGTGCAGGTATCCTCATTAGAAAAATAACCTCCATCAAACCATGGGGATGGGCATGAGCCCTCTCCCTGCGCCACACTGGACCGGCAGCTGCGATGCAAACACCAGGTCCCATATAGACATGGGCTAAACATCAGATTTAGGCTTTTCCTTTATGGCCAGAGGCAGAGCTTGCGGCAGCGGAAGATGTTTGTGGGCAGCACTCAGCTGGGAGGAACGGAGGGATGGAGGCTGCAGGAATGCATGGAATTTGGCCACGAGGGTCCCTCAGCACCCAGACATGGGGAAGGAGAAGGAGGAGGAAGAGGTTGTGCAGCCCACAGATGGTGCTGAAATGGGAATTGGCAGTGGGCCTTGCTGGAGGATTTATAGAGGCTCTTGGTCCCACACCAGCCCCAGACCCACTGGGGTGGTGTTTATCTCCACATGCCCTTGCAGCAGCCTAGGGTTGGCAGGTTGGATTTGGGGAGCACCAAATCCTAAATACAGAAAAACCCAAACCAACACAAACTAAGCGTATTCACAGCTCTCAGGTGCCTTCCTGGGGTTCAGTGTCGGAGCAGTGTGCTGCTGGCTTGCAAGGGCAGATGCATCCCCAGGAAGCCCAGCTGATATCCTCCTCCAGCTGCCTGCTACCCCAGGCAGTATCCCCATCATCTCTCTGTATATCTCACATAAAAGGAGCTATTGAGTTTTAATGACCCATAGAAAGTGGGCTTGAGTTCGTGCAGAGGCACGGGGAGGAGTATGAGGACATTAATTCTCCTCTGAGCTGGCAGCTTCACTCTCCCCTTCATTCACCAGCAGGACCAAAACCATCTCTATAGGGTGCTGGGCAGCCAGGACCACACCAGTGTTCAGGCAGGGCCAGCACAAGCGGCAAGTGTTATCTTCTCTCCGTCCTTATGTTCACTTTGGCTGCTTTTTCACCTAAGAAATTGTGCATGTGGTTTTTTTGCTTGAACTTTGGTTTGCAGTTAATTTACACTTTTTCTTTGCTTTGTTGCCATTATTTCTGATTGCTTTTTTTTTTCTTTCTGCCTCCTTTTTTTTTTATTTCGCCTTGCCATCTTCAGCCAGGCTATGTAAGAGACTTGGTAAGTGACAGCAACAATAAAATAAAGATAAATTTAAGATAAAGCTTAAAATAGCCTAGAGCCCCTTTGGTTTGAAGGGCAGCAGGGAAAAGACTAGCAAAACCTACACCCTCCCCAAGAAACGTGGGCCCTGTGTGGTTTTTATAATGGTCCCCAATGATTCATGCTGTGAAACTGGAAACCCTACACCAGAAATTTGCCCCACTGTTTGCTCACATCCTGCATCTTAAACTAACTAAGCCTGAGCAGCTCTTTGCCTCCAGACAGCTCAGATCTATATTTGCTTTTATATGTCTGGAGATACGAAGCAAAAGCAGCTCCACGTTATCAGCTGTGGTCACGGGGTTTGAGCAGTCATAGCTGAAATAAGACCTCAGGGTAGAAATTGATTGTGTGTGTTCATAACCACGCTGGCACCCATACACCTCCCAAGTCATCACCCATTCGCATGACAGTCGAGATGCCACTAATGACCCCCTTGCCTAAAGCTGGTGTGTCTCACCACCCGCAGATCACGGCACGCATCCTGGAGGCCCATCAGAACGTTGCCCAGATGAGCCTCATCGAGGCGAAGATGCGGTTTATTCAAGCCTGGCAGTCGCTGCCGGAGTTCGGCATCACACATTTCATTGCAAGGTTGGTGGGTCTGCTGGGAAGAACAGGAGGGGTTTCATGAGCATGGAGCAGGTTAGATATGCAGCACATCCTTAGCTGTGGAAATTGAAGTGGAACTGAAATCAAACAGCAGTAATTGCATTGGCTCATAAACCCAATTTTATATGTTAACTCAGCTGCCGTTTAACACACGTAGCTGTGTATCGCAGGCATGCATTTATTAACCTCTCACTGCGTCACAGGTTCCAGGGGGGCAAGAAGGAGGAGCTGATCGGCATTGCCTACAACCGGCTGATACGGATGGACGCGAGCACGGGCGACGCCGTCAAAACCTGGCGGTTCAGCAACATGAAGCAGTGGAACGTGAACTGGGAGATTAAAATGGTGAGCTGGTGTTTTACACCTCAGGCGCTTCCTCTGCTGCTGTGATGGGAGACAGGCGCTGCTCTCGGAGGTGGGGGGGGTGTTAATTCAACTTTGTAAGTCAGCTTGTAAAAAGTCAGGTTTTCACAGTGCTGTTTTCTAAAGCGTGTCCCATCCAGCTGCATTGATGTGATACAGTTTCTCCTCCCTCCTCTTCTCCCTCCTTAGAGATCTAGCAGAGCTTGTCCTAACTGTTGGTGGAGTTGAATATGACCCTTAAACAAAAGAACAGCAAACCCTGAACCTGTCTTTAACACAGTTACACGCTTCCTGCATAACCATTTTCTCTGGTCTCTGAACACCCACTCAAAGGCAGCAAAATAAAATCAGACTAGAACTGATGCTCAGGCTTGACCCTAACAGTAACATAAATGGACCGGCTTTATATGCACTAAAATTCCTTTTATTTGCAGTACAGCTCAAACTTCCATGTAAGTAATGAAAAGCAACAGTAGAGCCATCACTAGGCTCCAAGATGGGCTTTTACCCAACTGTTAAATTTGGATGAGCAAACTTTCTCTGCTCCTTTTCAGTGGATCATCTCATCAGAATTGCCAGGGATACGTGAGGGCTTTTCTTCTGCGGTTTGCAGTCATTAAGAGTTGCTAGAGAAATTATTCAGCTTCCCCTCTGCCTCAGAGTCTTTGTTTTGACTCTGTTGCAAGCCCAAATATCCCAGTTATTCGTCTCGGATAGTCTGCTGGGAATTCCCTTCCCTCCTGTAGAGCTGTCACTGATGGGGGGACAAAAAAATAACAGGCATCAATAAACAGGCAGTCTATTCAGTCACTGCAAAATGAGCTCCCCGCAGCCCCCACTGAGCATTTCTACAGCCAAATTTCCACTTACAAAACCAAAACTCACAGGAAAAAGTGAAAAGATACCGCTGAGAGATGCAGATGTGCTGGGTAATTACCTGTGAGTCACGGCAGAATGAAAGGTGTAATGAGAATTTAAGTAAATAAATAAAAAGATAAATAAAATAGAAAATTAAATAAAAGTAAGAGGTATTTGTGTGTCTAAACATTTGAATAATAGTCACTGTATCATAGAATATCTCAAATCGGAAGGGAGACATAAGGATCAAGTCCAAATCATCGTTTTTGTCACTGGCTTTTGCTTGGAAAAGGCATCTGGGTTAACAGAAAAAGGAGAATGAGACAGAGGGAAGAGTGTATGGCAGCGCCAGTCCTTCGGGTGAGCCTAACGCTGTGGTTTTGCTTTCTAGGTGACAGTGGAGTTTGCAGATGACGTTCGGGTGTCCTTCATTTGCACGGAGGTGGATTGCAAAGTGGTTCACGAGTTCATCGGCGGCTACATCTTCTTGTCGACACGAGCGAAAGATCAGAATGAGAGCTTAGATGAAGAGATGTTCTACAAACTGACCAGTGGTTGGGTGTGAGTCCCATGTACTGTACACCGAGAGGAAACCCCATGGCCATATTAATATTTAACTTTAAAAAGCTGTTCTTTGAAATATGCTGCTTAATAAAGTAAGCTTGAAATGTATCTTTTTTTTATCATGACAATTTTTGCATTACCAGACCAGTTAATCTGTGTGCACTAATGAGCACTTCTGTTAATTTGCTGTAACAAGACCGCATCTGGGCCAGGGAGATCGTGCTACTGGCCTTGAGATACAGAATCTGATGGGCAGATCAGGATAAGATTTGACTGACTTAAAATAGCCAATTTTCTACGAGAACTCTAAGCCATCTTCTTGTAAAGCCATCCAGGGCTTAACCTATATGAAGTCTATTTATCATGTTTAATGCATGAGTGTTTTCTTTTTCTTTGTGTTTTTTATTCTGTACATGTGACCTATTTGGAAGTCGTCCCACCCGTAAGTAGAACTGCCATCTCTCCTTTCACACTACATGCACCAGGACTGCTGCAGGTGCCTGACATGACTTTGAAGACAGTTGCGTGTGGCCTCGAAGATGACCTTCTGTTAATCTGTTATAGCTTGGTTTTATTTGTTAACTTGCCTTTTGATAATCATTTATATTGTCTTATTTTTTTTAATTTTATTTTATTTTTACACCATATTGTGTTATGACACTTTTAGTATTCACCAGCATAGTCACTGTTCTGCCTATGATATGCAAACTTTTTCATTACAATATGAAGTAAAGGTCTATGAAGTACAGGTTTTGTGTAACTAATGTAAAAAACACAAATTTTATAAAATTGTACAGTTTTTTTAACTAGTCTCACAAGCCAGCTAGAATACTGCATAGATTTGGAGTATCAGCATTAAGTCTAGTATGTCTGTAAGGGGTATGGGGAGTAACCAAGAAACAAAAGGAAACAAAAACCAAAACCCCACAATTTTAGTCCAGCAATTTTTTTATCTAAGTTAAATGGGATTTCAGAGCTGCGCCACAACACCCTCAATAACCCATACCCAGGGCCAGGACCTCCCTGTTCGTTAAGCCAGCGCCGCATTAACACTAACAGAGAGGGATCTCCTGCCCCACTTAATGCTGAGGAATAACCAGTGTTGTGTTCCTGTAGTCTGTGGTTTCAGGACTATATACAAATGCATTTTATTTTAAATAAAAGTCAAATCTTTTATTTAATATTCAGCTGCTGCTCCTGGTTTTTGTGCTTCAACTGCGCTACAGCAGGGCCTTAAGCGTATCCCATGTGATTCAACCACCCTGTGCCATCCCTACACTTCCTCCCAACACCTTATCCTGAGCTTTCTGAAACAAAATGGTACCAAACGCAAAGCAAAATACAGGGATGGGCCAGGAGTGGCCAAAGCCCTGTTCCCTGCCCAGGCAGGCAGTGGCGAAGCAGCCCAGGGATGCAGGGAAAGATGCTGCTAGGACACATGGAGTCAGTATCCTGCCATCACCTAGTTTGAAGACTGCTGGTGGAGCATTGAGCTCAGTTACAATGGCAAAAAGGAAGATAGATTTGCAAGTCAGCCTTAAACCAGTGTATTTCAGCCCTTCATTTGGCAGTGAAATGAAACTGGGTTTGCTGCCACAGGGGAGCACTACAGTGGGAGATCCTGCAGCCACAATGCACCAGTGAGGGTCCTTGACCAGCTGCCCAGCACACACAGTGCTGTTGTGCAGGAACAGGGTGCTGCCTGGGTAGAGAAGCCAGTGAGGGATTCACCGAGAGAGCTCCGTGCACAAAAACACCCTGAGGGACGGGCCAGGGACATTGCTTGGCCACATCTGGTTCAGCTCCCAGCTTCAGGTTCTCCCATCCCAACATGGCAGAGCCATAGCAGGACTGGTGGGAGGTGAGGAGGGATGCGAAAGGGGGCAGGTGAGGATGGCTGCTCACCTGCATGTCTGGGCGGAACAGAGAAGAGCAAGCAACAGCAACACCCACAGCCCTTCCCCAGGCACAAGCTGAATTTGCTCCCTTGCAGGTGGGTGCTCAGAGGAAATCGTGTGTTTCCACATCACTGATGCGTTCCTGCAGTGATCCTTGTGCTCTTGGACAGGCTGCACTCTTGCTCCATAAAAGCAAGGGGAATGGGTGGCCTGATGGTGCCGGGCGATTCCTCCCATTCCACAGTCAGGCTGCAAATGGGAGCATTGCCAGGGCAGAGGTGTGCTTGGGACGTGCCGGGGATGCTCCCAACCCTGCCCCACGCCTGTTCTTTTGGGTGCTGGCAGCTCCCCACTGCCGAACAAGCCCGGGCAGCCCTAGGAGGCACACGAACAGCAGCGGCGTGCACGCTTCTGGCAGGCGGCGCTGGGATCTTGGCTGGATGGGGGTGAGGCACAGCAGTAAGAACGTGCCTGGCCTGGAATAGCATCGGAGATGAGCGTGTGGCGGGGATGGCTCGCTGAAAAATATTTACCTCCTTTTCCACAGCCTGAGGTTATGTGGGGTGGGGAGGTGTAACGGGGAAAGGAAAGGTGGGAAGAGAAGGTGCATCCTGTCCCCAGTCCATCCATCCCTGGCCACATCCACACGGTTCCACTACAGTGAATTGGGGCCCAATTTTGCAGCTGGGGGAGGTGATAAGACAGGAAATGCTAAGCAGAAAAGTAGAGGAGGTCGGGGAAGGGGCATGGGAAGGCAGAGGCTGCTTTCAACCCCGAGGATGGGAGCTGGGAGAAGCTGGGTAGGAAGCGGGGAAGCAGTGAGAGGGTCACAAGGAGCTTTGAGGTGATCCAAAGGAGGCTGCCAGGGTTTCTAGGATGTCTTTCCTTTCTGCTAGGATTAAAAGACACAAATAGAAACGAGCTGTTAGAGAGGAGAGTGCAGGGGGATATAAAAAAGACTGGTTTATCTGAAGAGATAAAATACAGCACAATGGGAACTGCTACACACTGAGGCCAGACACAGGAGTGAGGAGGGAGCACAAGGAGCACATTGCAAGATGGCTTGGGGAGGAAGGTGTTGAGAGTGGAGCCTGTGAGAGGGGACGGAGGACCCACCCCAGGGACAGGCAGCAATGACAGCCAGGCAGCAGGAGGACAAGGAGAACAGGAGCTGTTTGCTCTGCCGCTTCTCCCGTCATCATCGGACATCACTGCTGGACTATGCTGAGTCGAAGGGAATCCAGGACATGGTGGGTGCAGAGGGTTTCCAGTGATGTGCTGGGGAGAGGTGTCAGAGGCTGGGTGCGTTTGAGGGTGCTTGGGCATTAAAGCAAAAAATGGAGGGTGAGGAGGTCTTGGCAATGCAAATCCTAGCTCCTGCAGCACCAACACTGAAGGGAGATGTAGAGGTTTATTCTGCTGATGCAATGAAATCTGGCTATGGGTGACCCTTTTAGGTAAACAAAGCAAACCAAATTAAAAACAAAAGAGAAGAGAAACCAGCCTGTGGGTGTCCACAGCCCCTTGGGGTGAAGAAGAGCAGTAACCGTCTGACATCCACAATCTGGTGGCTGCCCTGGGGGAAAAACAATTAACTCAAACTATCTTGATAAGCACATTATGGGGATAGATGTTCAGAGCCAACAGCACTGCTTAAACCTCATTTTAACCCAAACAAGCATCAGAGGTGCCTGAATATGGGATTACTCCAGCCCTACATCAGTGGGCAGGGCTGGGGGATGGATGCTTCTCCCTTGCTGACCCTTCTCCAGGACCTTGAGGAGAGGAAAGGAAAGAATAAATTACTTCACCGAAAGGTTCTGATGCAAACCGGCTGCCAGGGTGAAAAACCACTCCACTTGGTGTGCCATGGGGCTTTGCATGCCTTTCTGAGCAAGGTACTGGCTGCAGTGTCGGCTGGGATTCATACGGCTTTTTAAGCCCCAAGTAATTCAATACCATGCAGATGGGCAGGTCACATAGCGGTTTTAGAGCAGGAACAGCATAGGTTTGTACTGCGAGAGATTCACAGACCCGTGGAGAATTTAAAAACAAAGCAAAAATGAAGTATCTCCAAAACAAGGCTGTCGCCTGCAGCAAGGGAGGAGGCGAGAGCCGGATGGCCTGGGTTCAGGGGCACATCCTGCTGCTGTGAATCTATAGAAAAAGGGTATTTGGGGAAGCTGCTGGTTTTTGGGGGGCAATAATACAAAATGACCCCCAAACACTACGAAAGGAGGCAGGTTATCGCCTACAACCGGGACATGTGGGAGCATGGGGTTTATTTCCAAAAGCCCCACCCCAGGCCTCCCATCAAGGGATGTCCACCCTAGACAGTGGGGCTTTCCTGCAGTAGGCAAGGGCTAAAGAAAGGTAATCTAATTAATCAATTATTCATTAATCATCCAAGCTGGATGAGTCATTTCAGCATCTCAGCCCTGCAGGAAGCACACTGGGGATTTTCCAGACTTTGGGTTGGGAAGGGGCTCCCAGATTCCTGGTGCTCACATCACAGATGAATTCAAGTGCCTTCCCCTGCCTTGTCCAGCCCCTCCAAGCCCCTCACTTTGTTGAGCATCAGAGGGGTTGGGATGAGCAGCACCTTTCACCCGACCTGCCCTGTGTGCTGCAGGAGAGGGGCTCTGGGCACCCCTGGGGACACTTGGGGCCACAAGGGATTTACCCAGCGTTGACCAGGGATGCAGGAAACCCAGACCAGGCGTCGCCACTGCCAGCCAGGATCCAACCCAGAGACAAAACCACATGCGGATGTGAGATGCCTGTTTCAGTCCAGCTGCCAAGAAACCCTCACTTCTGAGTGTATTAACCCTCATCTTGATGCAGGAAAGGATGGTGAAGAGGCAAAGCCCTCAGCACAGCACCAACTCAGATGGCAGGAGCAGTTTCATCAGTCTAATTGAATTCAGACTGATCAGTGACCATGCTCACATGGCTCAAAACCTTTCTGGAAACCAGTGAGGGGTTTGTTTGTTTGCTTTAAGTATCAGAAAAGCACTGTATGCTTTTATTTGTGGCACCAAGGCACTAAAGAGATAAAAGATCTATAAATATCTGCTGGATGTTATAGATTTAAAAAGTTCCTCCCTGCGTGCCTCTTTTCCCATCAGCACCGGTGCAATGCGGACCAGGCAGTTCAGCCTCATGCCTGTTCCCCTTTCGATTGGCATCCCAGCCTTCCTTTTGAAATCCCCTGCATCCCTCCAGCTGTTCGACATATTTCAGGCTTGAGTCTCCCCCCAGAAACTGCTTCTTTGGTTTCTCTTAAGCCCTCCCGTCTGGTTTTCATAACTGCAGAATGCAAAGGGGGACTTTTCCCAGGGTGTTATCAAGGCCTCAGGTCTGAATGCCCCTGGGATGGAAACCCAGACCTTCCCCACTGAAAACAGCCGTGCCGACGGATGAGCACACGCTGGGGAAGGAGAGGACGGGAAACACCAGTTTAAGAAGAATTTAAAATCTCAACATGCCAAAATCACCCCCAAAAGCTGCCAGGGAACCAGCTCACATTGGTTTGATCAGCATTCCATCTGATCCGTGTCAGAGGCTGCAGCGCTTGCACTTTGGGCGGGGGGGGGGGGGTGTCTTTTTTTAATTAGACACAGGAGCATCAGAATATTTCCTAGAGCCCAAAGGCCAACCCCATGTTTCAGTGACTCAAATATGCAAGAACCTGTCAGATACTGAGACAATTCAGAGCTTTCCCTTTGATCCATAGCTAAGACAAAGACCTGAAAATGGAGCTCCCCTCTGCTGTCAGCTCCCGGTGAGGCCACAGCTCCCCGGCTGGTGGGAAGCCTCTGGCTGCAGGACTCCCACTCCCCCTGCTCTGAGAAAGCAGCAGTTTGAGCAAATAAAGCATTTGCTCTGGGGGTTGGGGTTTTTTGTTTTTGGCTTTTGGTCAGCAGCTGGTCAGCCTCTAATGAGCAAGCTGGGCTTTGATTTCCTGCCTGGGAAAGGGGGTGTAAAGGAAATGGGAGAGGATTGGGGTTAGAAATTTGACTCACGCCATCAATCCTGGCTGGGAGTTGCTCCCCTTTGTCCCTTGCCCAGGAAAATGTCCCAGACGGAGGCACTGGCTTGGCTCGGGGACAAGCATAAGGGGCCACAAGGGAATTGCAGCAGTGTCTAGAGAAAGTGAAGCCCCGTGGTCCCAGCCTGCCCAAGGAAAGACAACACTTGCCCCTGTGCTGCCTTCCACACCAGGCCTGCACCATCTGGAGCATGCGGGTTGAGACAGCAGTGGTTCTGTTGGTCCTCCTGTGCAATTC